AACCAAAAATAAATATTTCTCAATAATATCTAAGCATGGTAATCCTCTTAATTGTTTTATCTATGAAGTCACACACTGAGCATTTTATTTTCCTTCAGAAACATGACATCAGTTCCAATACTATAGTGTGGGATTTGTTTTGTTTTGTTTTGTTTTTCTTTGAGAAATACATATAAATTTAAATGTCTCTACTAAAGTTCTGAGTTTGCTATCAGTAATGTGAAAGTGAACCACTTAATTGCTCCCAAACACCGGCCTCTAACACATATGTGAGAAGCTACTTTAAGAGTAAGGTGGGCTTACTGAGATGAGATGGAACTTTTTAGTTTTAATTTATCAGCCAGAGTATTTAACAGGCTAAATATTCACGGAAGACATTTTGTGGTCCCCATTTTACCCCGTCTTATCAGGCTTACATAAGACCCATAAGGCATCTGTAAGACCAGGACTCCAAAAGTTTGACTTCTGAGTAGGATCATATATAAAATAATCTTGTCTTATTTTTCTTTTGCTGTGAACATAAAATATTGTAAGTGTAGCTTTACCAAAGGAAATAAAAATCACCCAGCCTGAAATAGAAGACATCAAGAGTTAATGAGGGTCCCAAACTAGAAATGTAAGGCTTTAGATTGTCTGTCTTATCTTTATTAAATAGGCTCTGAGAAGATTTTGAAACAAAGAAACAAAAAAAAAAATGTTCCTATTTTCTCCTGTCTTTTGCAAAATTTGGAGGACTTCAGACTTCAAGCCAAACATTGCACCTTTGTACTCTCTTCCCATGTTTCTCATCTCCACATTGTTGACTTGAATTGTTTCCAAATAGGCTGATAAATTTACAGCTGCTAATATAGGTCATGTAATATAGGTTAAACCCATCTTTACAGGCTAATAATATTCTTGTGTCTTTAAATGAGCTATGAAGAATTTTGTAATTAAGATTGTCTCCATATTTATTTGCCAGTAAAAGCAATGAAGAGAAGCTAAAAAAACTCACTGTTTTCTTGTCACTGAGGTCAGCCTTGCTTCTATACTGTATTGAGTCTAAAGAGCCAGAACCACTATGTGGTTGCAACCTCAAAGGTATTGCAGGTGCCAGAAGTAGCAGAGGAAGTGTAGGAAGGTCTATATGGGTCAAGAAAAGGCAACTGTGTCATATTTCAAGATTTAGTCGATTTGGGTATTGTCATTGCCTAAACCAGGGAAAAAGTACCTGTAAACTGTCTCTCTTCTCTCCTGATCTTGGGGATAATCGGGAATACCCTCAGTACATCAGTCATGTTGCTACACTAGACAAGATGAACTGGATGATGGCTGAAATTTCCTGGTTGATGATCCAGAAAAAGCAGTAAATCATAGAAATCATATTTGGCCATATTCCCTCTGCTCTCTGTGGCGTTATAGATGAAAGAGGAGAAAAGCATGAAACGATAAATTTATTAAGTTTTAAAGCTGAAATGCAGAAATCTGAACACCTTTTGTACACATTGTAACATGCAGAGATAGGGCAGGTAAGCTGTTTTGTCTCTATGCAGGTCCTAGTTCAGATTTGATTTCTTGCCTTTGATTTCTTGTGAATTTGCTCTGACATGTACAAGATCACTTGGAATAAGGTCTTTACTGTGTTTGTGTCAATAATACCCAGGAATCGCAGCTGTGGGTCAGGACCCCATTATGAGAACTCTTGTACAAACATAACAACAAACAGATTTATGTCATCTGATATTCAAATCAAGCAAGATAATTGATTGGCGAGTTGTAACTAAGCCAAAAATTAGGGATGGGGTTTACTGTATATTTTTTTTCAGTTCATGTTCATTAATACATGAATGACATCAGATTTGGAGCTTCAGTCTAAACAAATACAAATACTGAAGATGTAAATTATTCTTTGTATATTTATTTCATATGTTTTCCTTGTTTACAGTTTGTATAGAATCTAAACCTAGAGGAATTATAAACTGAAATATTACCACCAAAGTTATTCTGACCCCAGCAGAATTCATAAAAAGAGATAAACAAATAATTGTTTGAAAGTGTTTATGAGTTAACGTGTTTTCTTTGAAAATTTTGCAATCACACTTGGTAGCATTTAGAGGTGCTACAGTTTGCAAATAATTTTTTGTTTCATTTTTTTTCTTCATTAAACAAGCAAGCTCAAACAAGGCATTTCATTATTACTTCAATAATGTACAATCAGCATAGCTTTCATGTATCTTGATTGTTGATAGCTACTGATGAAATAAGAAGAGACAAAGTTTGTCAAGTGGAGACGTGCACAGACCCAAGTCACCACAGCTAAGCAGCACGTCCATGTAAATTTAAGTCTCAGACAGAAAAAGCAGAGTGGGGAGGAGGGGAATCAACACCTATTAAATTTGGACAGGGACAGAAAAAGTGGTCTTTGGTGACTGACAGACAAGGTTATGTGGCTGAACAATAATTTGAAGCTTTGAATTATTCATGTCTCATTCAAGGTAAAAGGGTTTAACCTGGTGATATCATCTTGTTGAGGTATTTCACTAGGTCAAAATATTATATTCTTATTCCTGACTTTTTTATTTTACTAGGTTCATGTCTTAAACACAAAAATAGAGGGGAGAATAGGAATAAGTGCTGATTTTTAGAGAAATATATGTGTAAGTACTAAGGTCCCAGAACAATTTGCCATTTAAAATGAAAAAGCAAACAGCTTGCACAAAGTCCTCAATGCAGTCTGACAGCTGAACTTCAGATTTGTCTTTCTCCATACCCTACACACCACAGTTGTCCTTCTGTGTAACTCTTAAACCTAGAAGGTAGAGATAGGATTCCAACCTTTATTTGAAAATAATTATTTTTTTGAAACATTATATTTGTTTGCTGATAAGAAATACAGACATAATACCATCATGTGTCCTACCATCTGCTACGGCTTCCTGATTTGGCCTTCCATGGTGTCCATTGATGTTGTGAAGAGTTTATCGACTGTCCAAAATCATTATGTAGCTAATTACTATAGAAAGAATCAACAGAACAGCGTATACATAAAGGCACATAAGATAACAAAACAACCCTGGACAAGATTCATTTTTTTTTTTCTGTTAGCATGAAACAATTTATTGATTAATTAATTTGGCTTGGGACAATATTAATTTACTCCTAATTCCAGTTAAACAGACCTGAAAGAATATATTTAATTGTAGATGCTGGCATGGAATGAGAGTCTTGGGCAAAACCTGAAGATTTCCTACTAAATCTTCCTCTTAACCTGAAGTGCATTTAAACTAAATTTTCTCCCATTACCAATTCTACCTATCCTACAGTTCACAGTATTCTGCATTACTGATGTCACATGAAGAGTTGATATCTCTGAGACAAGGATCAATTGTAGGTTATATCAGTTTCCATATTTTGGATCCTTTATTTTGAGCTTCTGATCTCAATGGGACTCCAGGGGTATTTGTGGTGCCTCAAGGGACTGAGCCAAGGACACAGTTTGTGATCCTGTGTCTGTGGCAACATCAACCCTCATTTCGTTTCATCTATTTTATTAATATAAATCTTTAATGTTCCATCTTTAAAATCCCATTTTAATTTAGCCATACAGGTCCCTGGCTTCCTGATTTTGATTTCACAGACGTGTAGCTTCCAGACTGGTAACCACGTTACTGGCATCAATGCCACTGATTTTTACATTCTATCCAGAGGTGCTCCTCTATCTCCCTACACATCAGGTCTAACTAAGTTAGATCTTTTCAGTTACAGGAAGACTGTGGTTACTTTTCTTAAGTGCTTTACCCACTTATCCCTGTGAGGATTTCAGAGTAATTACCTGTAGTTATTAATCAGCATTTCTCCATGTTTGTTCTTTTTTTCCAAACAGTAGTTACCAGCCAACTGTATGACTGTGTTCAGGGGCACATAGGAGTCCTGACCTCTGTTCTAGCTAGGGAAGATCAGCCTGTTTTAACGTGGTGTCCTATCCTTCTTTGGTGCTCTTAACACAAACACCCTGTGCTTTCAGAGCCAGATCTGCAGGACACTGCAAGGGGAAAAAAAAAAAAAAAAAAAAAAAAAAAAAAAAAAATATATCAGTTTTACCAGAAATACAGTGTCTTTGGTGTGATGGGGTCTAAATTTTCTTACAACTTTGAGACATTCAAGTGATTTGAAATAGAATATTATTGTCAGATAAACACCAGTTCAGTGTTACTTGCTGGTTTTATGTATGCAGAAAAACATAGATACTTTAGGGAAATAATTTATTTTCTTGATGAAAACTTGAAAGCAAAAGAAAATAGAAAATCTAATATCAGCTTAAGTTGCAAGATCCTTCTTAGGTGTACATAGTAACTCATATGAAGTATAAATGCTCATAACTGAGGGACCTTTTTCATCAAGCAGACTGAGGAATGCATGCTTCAAACTGAGCAGAAATTGGAATACCATGTGAGAAATCTGAGAGTCACCAACACAACCTGGACATTATCTCTCAATAAGATAAACACTATTCAGTATAACAATATTATCACTCTGGGAACACAGTATACAGGAGAAATCCAATCTGAATGCCAAAATACAGTAACTACTGTATACAACAGACTGCCCTAAGAAGAGTTTGCCAGCCTGCACTTGGGACTAAGCTTAGAAAGAACTGGCCTGTTTTCTACTCTCTTCATCCAAAGATGGTTTCACAGATTTCACTCCTTCATCATCTCCTTGGGGCATTTTAGCTACTTCTGTGTCATGAAACTCATCACTCACTAAATAATTAATTTACTCAAGTAAGCAGGATCTCTTGGGGTTTAGGGTTTCTTAGTGAAGAGAGATGACAGCTGATGTGCTATTTCAGAAGGAAACAGGAACAAAACCCCAATATGCTATGTTATTTTCTTTGATTTATTTTTTTAAAATTGTTATTCATTTTGCAGTCATCAAAATTCTTTCTTGGTTAACTTTTTCTATTAGGTAGATTAGATTTCATTCCACTGGTATTATTTTAATAAGTAGGGCTGGGAAACTGCTCTATTCTGTATTAATCAATGTGTATGTAAGGCCAGGAGGGGATAGAGAGCCAAGTCCAACTCCCTCTATAATCAATTGCAGCACCATGGGAGAGGGAACAGGTCATTGCTAAGGAGACATTTTTTCTCATTGTACTGGCAGCCCTAAGCTCTACATTTTTCTCACCTGGCTTACGGAGAACAGCCATCATTTGAGCAAGTCTGGGCATGAGTGAATGACATGTTGGTAAAAGTATGGAGAAGCCTGCACTGATGCTGGTGAGTCTGTAGAGGCACAGAGAGTTTAATGGAGTCCCATTGTAAAATTATATAAACACTTACAAATACATATACATATGTACATGTGTAAACACAGATAAATAAAAATCAAATTACATTACTGCCCTTGTTTATAGCTCAGAGGACTGGTTTTAATTTTTTTCTGCTTTTAAATGATAAAAGAGCAAGAACAACCAAGCAGGACATATATGCACACACATATATATAATATATATATTTATTCACACCTACATCTATATACATATACATGCATATATGTATATACATACATGTATGTATGTATGTATATGTGTATTTAAATTGCATGGGCACAGTGTTTCATCTACAACTATAAAACTTAATGGTGGGATTAGTCTTTAGTATCTGTAGAAAGGACCATATAATCTTCCTCCTAATTCATTCATGAATGAGAAGGCCACCTCAGAGCTTTTCACGAGAAACATATATCATCACCATTCCCATGTGTAGACTACTCACATGAGCTACGATTTTCTTTTTCCTTCTGTTCAGTCTTAATTTAGACCTAATGACTATAGAATAATTAAAACTTCATATCTGTTTCCTCTTAATAATAATAATAAAAAGAAAAAGCCAATTTACAATTGAGTATCCTCCACCTGAAACTTCAAAATGCTTTTACCTTTAAAATTTGAAATATCTCATATTAGGGGGGACATTTCCAGATTACCTTCAAAATCATCTCTGTTCATATGAATTTTGATAGACTTAATGTGCAAATTTTCCAGAGGAAACCAGAAAACTAAGGAATATTATTTTTCATTATGTTTTCTGTGTGTGAAGACTTGTAGATGCATGATTTATAGGTGAGTATTGAGAGCTTTGTTTTAGCTTATAATACCTTGACTTTTAAAACAAGGCACATACAGTTTCTGACATTTAACCTGCAACAGAATAAATATGGTTGGATTATTAAAAGCAATTCTAAGAGAGTTCAGTTCCCACTGGAAATTTCCTCAGCCTTTTTGAAAATCATACTGTAATTGCATCACAGAATTAAAGTTCAGGGTGAAACGTTACCTCTGTAGGTTACATTTCTGCAGTCAGAGGCATCTGAGCCAGCAGATGACTCTGAGGGAAATGATCAAAGGCTTGGAGGTCCAGGTGGTTTTCTCCTTGATTCAGTTGGTGTGGGGGAAGAACTTGAGGAGAAGCAGATGGATTCTGAGTGTCAGCAACTGGTTGTGTGACAACAAGGATTGGTTTTTGTGACCATGGGACCTTCTTTGAGGATTGAAGACCATTATGAAGAGACTAAGTGCGGCAAAAAGATCTTTGTCAACAGACTGGCTGACTAGGTAAAAAGAACTTTAAGATAGACACAAGAGAGTGAGACAATGACCCACAGTCAAATGAGTAAGTAGTGGACCAGCTTGGCAAGCAAACAGTAGAGGATAACTCAGACAAGAGATATCTAGATTAACAAAACAGGGCTGAAAGGGATCCACCTCAAACATGTTAATATAAGAAAGTACCTGCAGGATAACATTATGGGCAAAGCTACTCATAACTTTTCTGGGAAATCATCATGGCTGGGTGCATCTCGGCAGGACCTGTATACTACTGCATGTTGTGTTGGGAACAAGCAGGAGACAATAAGATATTCCTGTGCAGACGCAAGCCTATGATCTCATTGGAATTCAGAAATATGTCTGGATAGCTCACATGCCTGAAGTGCTGCCGTGAATAGATACAGGCTCTCTAGGAAGGACAGGCCAGAACAGCAAGGAGGTGGAGTTGCACTTGATGGGAGAGAGCAGTGTGAATGCATGGATCCCTGCCTAGGAGCAGATGATCATCCAGTTGAGAGTTTATGGGTCAGGATTAGAGGGCAGTCCAACATAGTTTATGTTGTGGGTGTCTGCTACAGGTTGCTTGGTCAGGGTTCTTTGTGAGGCCATTCTGAATTATCTTTGAAAAGTCATGGTGATCAGAGAGGTTCCTGATGACTGGAAGAAAGGAAATGTCACCAGTCTTCAGGAAGGACTATTCAGAGGACTAGAGGCAGGTCAGCTTCATCTCAGTCCTTGAGAAGGTGATGGTGCAAATAATTCTGGAAACCATTTCCAGACATATGAAGGCAAGGTGATTAGGAGTATTCAGCATGGATTTACAAAAGGGAAATTATGTCTGACCAGCCTGATAGCCTTTTATGATAAAATGCTTAGCTCAATGGATAGGGTGAGAGTTGTAGATACTCTCTATATTGACTTTCGCAAGCCTTTGACACTGAATTCCATAATATCCTCATAAACAAACTTGTGCAATATGGACTAGAGAAATGGATACTGATGTGGATTGAGAACTGGCTGGTGTGCTGGGATTGGAAGGTTGTGATCAGTGGAACAAACTCCATCAGGAGGCCAGTCACTACTAGTGTACACTAAGGTTTGATGCTGAGGTCAAACTGTTTAACATCTTCATTAATGACCTGGGTGATGGGACGAACTGCACCATCAGCAAGTTTGCAGAAAATGCAAAACTGGAAAGAGTAGCTGATATACCACAGAGCTTTTATGTCATCCAGAGACTCCTTGACAGGCTGGAGAACTGGGCCCATGGAAATCTCCTCAAGTTCAAGAAAAGTAAGCACCTAGTCCTGCATCTGAGAAGGAATCCCATCCCAAGAACTGGTAATTTGGGGAAAATCTTAACACAAAGATGATATAAATGTTTTAATTTTTGCTGTCTCTAATGCATCTGTTCAGTGAATCAGCAAGGGGCAGCATTTTATTTTTCTGTGGAATGGGTGTTTTTTAGGGCAGAAATTCAAATTCTGATAAAATTAATACACCATTATAGCTTGTAATTTGGAAGGAGATGTTATATTCAGCTGTGACTCTCCTGTTGCTAAATCTGGAGTGTGATTAAAAAACTCTAATAAATATATTTAAAAGGAGATTAAGTTATTTTCTCTGTTCTACATAATAATTGAATGTATTTAATCTTAGGGAAAAGATTTTCAACTGGTATAAACCGGCTAAGTTCTGTTTATACCTGTGGAGTTACATTAGTTTACACTAATTGATGAGCTGACCATTATATTTTTAGCAGAGATTTTTAGCTTGCTTGAAAGGAAAAGTTTTTGTCCATGTCATAAAAACAGTGTTCCTCATAAAAAAAAGCATCAAAATACAGGACCATTTGCACTCTGATGCTACATGTGTTCAGCCATTCTTGAATGTCATGTAGAGGAAGTGTGGCCAGGAGGTCAAGGGAGGGGATTCTCCCCCTCTGCTCCACTCTGGTGAGACCTCGCTTGCAGTGCTGTGTCCAGCTCTGGGGCCACCAAAATAAAAAAGGCACAGACCTGTTGGAGCAGGTCCAGGGGAGGCCATGAATATGATCAGGGGGCTGGAGCAGCTCCCCTGCAAGTCCAGGCTGAGAGAGTTGGTGCTGTTCAGCCTGGAGAAGAGAAGGCTCAGGGGAGACCTTATAGTGGCCTTCGAGTGCTTAAAGGAGGCTGCAGGGAAGATGGGGATGACTCTATCAGGGGGTGCAGGGAGGGGACAAGGGGTAACAGTTTTAAACTAAAATAAGGTAGCTGTAGATTAGATATAAGGAAGAAATTCTTCCCTGTGTGGGTGGCAAGACACTGGCACAGGGTGCCCAGAGAAGGTGTGGATCCTCCCTGTAAGTGTTCAAGGCCAGGTTGGATGGGACTTTGAACAACCTGGTATAGTGGAAAGTGTCTCTGCCCTTGGCAGGGTGTTGGAACTAAATTATTTTTAAAGTCCCTTTCAAATCATTCAATGATTTTTATATCTTTGAACTGTGTCAGCTGTCAATTAATGAACATTAGAACTATGACTTGAGAATATAAAGTGACCCAAATTTTGAGAACAAATCTAGATACTTTTTCATCTCTGTGCTAACTACTACTTGCAACATTTTATTTTGAAAAAAAGAAAATGTCTGCTTAAAGGCAGATTCAGGGATAGCATGACAATGGAACTGCTGATATACACTCACATGAGGATTGAATTTGTCTAACTTAAGCCATCAGAATTCTTGCTAGAGTAGCTATATTTACCAGAACCAATTCTAATTATGTATTTTGCTTAGGAGGTGGGTATATTCACTCTGAAGACAAGTATTCCCATTTGATATTATTCAGAGTAATAGCTACTCACATGAATAATGATTTCAGGTTTAGATAGCTCTGAATTTTAAGATTCTCAGGGGCCCAGTGACATTAAATATGATATATCTTCGGTGTTCTTTGTTGATAATCCCATTCAATATTATAGATCCCAAGAAAATCCCATGTCTGAACTGAAACCCAGTACTCAGCCAAACTGTGTGTGTGCTTCTGTTGTTTGTTAACTGAAGTGCTTGTGAAAGTTGTTCATGGGCCTGTTGATCTCAACAGAGTATGTGTAAATCCTCCCCAACATCAAACCTCCATTTCAAATTCAGGTCTTGTGTCCATCAGTCATTAAGAAACACATGCTGAAGCTTTTTATTTACATAATTCTGTATTTTAAAGTTCCTGCATTGATCCAAGTTTAAAGTCCATGAAAAATAATTACTGCTTTACCTATATATTCAAACAATAAATAAATATATTCAGGGCTTCTACAAAGTCTCTAATATACAATGCAGATGTCAAGAGTAAGTGTTCTGACGTACACTGAGATATCTATGTTTACTGCTCTCCTCACAGCTTTAATGTTGTGTTTCAGATGTGACAAGGTCTCCTATGTTTTAGGCCTGGGGGCCATGACCAAGGATCCTCCAGTACTATTTCTGAATTAAAACTCTATTCTGGAACAACCTCATCTGAGCTGAATATCCACATCTGTAGGCATATATTACATGCCAGTTAGTTCTCATCTATATAGCAGGCTAACAAGGACAGGCAGGCATTGATCCACTTATCTCTGAACTGAGGGAGTATTATTACTGTTGGGAAAAACTAGTGAGGAGGCACTAATGAAACCAGACATTATTATACTATATAAAATTTTTCTGTCATCTATCAGAATTTGAGCTTGCTATTTTTCCTGTGGTGGAGAGCGCTAGCATGTTCTCTCTTGTTTTGCTATTTCTTCTCTTGAAACACATGTAGATGTACGTACTTAATCCCCTTCTCTATTCCTCTTCCTACTTTGAGCTATTTTGTTGCAATTAGGCAGCACATTAAAATTTTTTTAATCTGAAGGAAGGAGGGACAACCAGAAATGTATTGTCATTGCATAAACCACAGTTCCTCAGAAACTAGACAAAAGAAAGTAAAATAAAAATAAAAATGTGGAGAATGTAGACAGGAGGAAAACATAGGGGAATTAAATGGTTGTGGAAGCAATTGCAGTTTCTTGCACCGCTTGCTCATGGAAGATGGGAGCTATAAACAAGGAGAGACGTTGACAGTGAAATAGAGTTATTGTTTGGGTTGCTTTCATGCTCAAGATTATTACTATTATTATTTTTGTCCTTTCTGTGTTCTTTTAATATATGGCCATTAACTAAAGTAGCAAAGGGGAAAAAAGATATTCACAATTACATTGGAATGTTGCTTTGATAATTAGTTTGCAGAAGCTGTCATGCTGGTCGATACTCTCTTCTCTGCTGAAGACAGCATTATTGTCTGATTTATGTTTTAACTCATCCCCTTGTCCTCTCACGTTAATCGTCTGCTGTTGATAGCCATTTAACTAAATGTGTCTGGGGAAATAGGGTGAATAACAGTAATGTGGAAGACAAGGATTAGAACCATTACCCATAAAGCAAAATAGATTTTACACATTCAATAAAAGATGAGCCAACTATTCTCTACAAAGAAAAACTTCTGACCTCTGGAATACCTCTAGTTTCTCACAGTAGATCACATAAGACTTCATAGATAGATAGATAGATAGATAGATAGATAGATAGATAGATAGATAGATAGATAGATAGATAGATAGATAGATAGACACATTAAATTTTATCTACATAATATATATACATAAATCTATAAAATATGTGTGTACATGTGTAATTATATGTATACATATATGCATTTTAACAATTGATAAATTGTCATTAGTGTATTATTTAAGGACTGCTAGGAAACCATACAAAACGTAAAACCAGAGCTGAAGAGATTTACAAGACTCTTGCAGGAAGGCTGCTCATGAATTCTCCAGTACTGTACTATGGTGTCAGAAAATTGCTGTCTGATCTTTTTGCTGCCATCTGCTAGATTTTTCTGTCCTCTTTGAATTTTTTTGTATCATCTGATCTGTATGTTCCACCAATGTCTTCTGCCATTGGGAATGGGATTAGTCCTAGACAAATAATTTTATTTTTTAATGAAAAGATTCATCATTGGAAAATA